AAAAAAAACACCGCGGGACCTCAAACCAACCAACCAACCAGGACAAAAAAACATTCAAGAAACAATATAGACAGCTAAATTGATATTTTGTATATATCTATCTTCTTTTCTGTGTGTTTTTAGACCCTAAGATATGCAAGGAACAACACACACATACCAACATATATGTTCACCAACAGTTATATACATCTGCATGCAGAGAGAAAAGAAAAAAAGACATTACAACTTTTATATACTTTGAGACTTAAAGCTATGAACAAACAAGCAGGTTTATGCACGTATCTAGATATGTAACCATCCATTTGATTGAGCGGATGTTGACATAGGTTGAAGAAAATCAGCATCATCTGTGCTGTATATAGAAAACCATCTTTATCAGATAAGGAAAAGCTCCTGCTCTCCTGATCATGTATAATTTCGCCGATTCTCTTTTCTTTCTTCAAACCCCCCCCCCAACTCCCCCCCATGTTTATTCTTATTATTCTTATTTTAAATACAGATTTCACGGAGGTTAAGTATAAAAAATGCTTCTTGTAAGGTAGTGTGGTATAGTGGTATCTAGCAGTACTAGTTATAGTTTAAAAACATCCCAGCAGATTAACAACAACACGCTTGACACACGAACACTTAAATACTAAAATAAACAGCAGGTGGCTGGGGGAGGCGGAAGTGGGAGCGCACAATCTACTTCTTGGAAAATAAATTTATTTCGCAAATCTTTCTCACGGGAGTAGGGCAAGACCAGAACGAGAACAATAGTTATGGTGTTGTTGGACGGAGGGAAGGGGTGAAAATAGAAGGGCCGTATAATAATGTTAAGAGGAAACAGAGAAACAGTGCTAAGAAGGGGACGAGGAGAGAGGAAAGGAAAGGAAAACAAGAAGAAGCCCAGAATCATCATCTCAGAAAAAGATATATATGTGCAAAGAAGAACAAGAAGAGGAAGACAGGAATTATAAAAAAAATAAAAAATATAAAGCATAAAAAAAAAGAGCCATATGAAAATGGGTGCCATTTGTGGAACGCTCCAAAGTCTGACGAAAGAAAAAAAAAGAGAAAATGTGAAGAAGGGTTGGTATAACTCGGGGACGAAACGGGATAGAGGAGAGTGTAACATATAAAGGGGAAGAGAGAGAGAGAGTGAGAGAGAAAAAGGGAAAGGTTAAGGAAAATATATAGGCATGAGCGGGCTTAAATACGAACAGGAATTGGGGACGGAGGGAGTTTGGCCATGAAATATAGCAAAAAATAGATAAAATGTAAACAGACACAAGTAGTATTCGGATCCCGGTGTTCCAATCATCATGTATAGAAGTCAGGTGCGGAGCAGGTATATTTCATCGAAGGACTGTACCAAAACAATCATCTCCTGGTCTATCTGTGTTTCAAGCTTCCGCCTGCACCTTGAGGGCCTGCTTTTCATCGTCTATAGGAGTGCGCTTGCGCATCACAGCGTCCTGACTGGACATTCTCCTCCCCAACGCACGCTCGACTTTCGCTCCGAGCGCAAGCTTGTTGAGATCATCTGTCTTCTCTGGGGTAGGCACAAATCGCTGCTGGGTGAGAGGTTTGTTCTCGAGACGTTCCAGCCCGGCTCCGAGTTCTTTGATTTCAGCCAGGCGGCTGTCGCCAGTCATTGAGCTGGAGATGGTGTGGTCAGAGTAGGCGAGGGAGCCGGATCCGCTGATTGTGGAGAAACGTTGGGAGTTTCGTTGTGAGGAGGAGACCTGCTTTCGTCGCGCGGGGTTGTGGACACACTCAGTATTATTATTTTTGCTTTGGAGTAGTAGTTTTGGATGCCGAGAGGTCGAGGTGGAGGAGAAGCAGGAGAGTTTAAAAGGGCGAAGAGAGTAGGTATCATAATGGAAAAGAGAAAATTGGGAAAACCATACAGAAGGAGCCATTATCGGCCGCTGGGAATCCAGAGACTGCTGTCGAGCCATGGCCATGGGAAACGAGAGTTTCTGAAGAAGGTTGATTGCGTCAATCGGTCAGCCAGGATATAAAGTAGACCCCTTGTCAATGGGAAGGGTTCTTATATACGGACCCTGGAAATATATGGATCTGTGGATGAAGTAACGAGTGAGGGTACAGGGACAAACCAATGAACCTGTATTTTTTCCCTTTGTATTTTGTTTTATTGGTTTTTTTAGCTCTTCTTTTATTTCACGATTGCGTGCGTGGTGGACGATTGAGGTTTGGGTCGATAATCTGGTATCACAAAAATCAGCACATGCGGATGGGCACCTCCCACTCCAATCAACTGATGGCCGAAATATCCAAAAATTAAATGATAGGGCGAAGAGAAGAAAGGGACCCCCCTCTGTGATGAGATAAGAAACTGACTAATGAAATCAATCTTGCAGTAGCTGATCGGCGGGAGAGAGGGGAAGGGGGAGGGGGAGCAAGGGAAAGGAAAGAGACGCACATCAAGGCGCGATTTATTTTTACTGTTACTCTTCACAGAGAGGGGGAGAGAGAGGGAGGGAAGGGGTGTGTGGTGGAGGCTTACGAAGTTCGACGAGAGAAAATCGACGATTTGCTGGCGCACAAGGGGGGATGATCTTCGCCAACTTGTAGGCCGTAGAAGGTAAGCGGACGTGTAGAAATGGAACCTGTCAGATAGTTCCGGAAAAGAGAAATGATTTGGAAGAGAGCGTATGGCGGTAGATGTGAACGTGGATGTGGATTGTGGTGATGGTGCAGAGTGAGTAGTAGAGTGAAAGGCAAGAAGAAGTCCAAAAGATGAGCAAATTCAGGTGGAAACAGCAGAAATGGCGAGCCTCATGGCAGGATTTTTGGGCCAAGGTACCGGCGTTTTGGGTTCGGGAGGGCCTGGAGTAGTATTGGGAGGCGTTTAGGTCGGGTACTTACATCATACAAGTTAAATACTGTACGGCCGTGACAAGAAGCAATGCGCCCCAAATCCAAACACGGTAATTCAATGGGGAAACATCCCTCGCTCGTTGTTTAATGATATGCTACTATATGCTACGCTATGCTACGCTATGCTACAGTATATTAGATTGGGAATGGAATTGTCTATTTTGCATGTCAATAGATGTCAATTGGAGTACTCCGTAGATTGTTTCATATTCGTGACCTTGTTTTATGCAAACAATGCCCGTTCACACGGAGAACATTTATGTATATGTACAGGTACTCTGTACATACGGAGTAGATCACTGCTATTTTCTCTCTTGGAATAATACATACATAGCCGAATGTATGCGGGTTGAAAAACAGCCCATACGCATATACTTTTGTACTTCGACTTGCCATGCCATTTAATTCCTTCCCCTCTCACTCAGTGGTGGCACGCATGCAGGGGTTGCCCATGTCGCATTTTGGCGTGGCAGACTTCTGCAGCCTGTGGGAATTATTTAAATATTTGCCCTCCCTCTTTCTCAATTCCCACGCGAATTCAGCGAGTATTCACGGGAATACGGACTGCAGAGTAGCCAGATTCACAATGCGACTTTATATTTAATTTATTGTCAGTATTTCGGAAATCTTTGGAAATGAAAAGAAAAAATGCAGGATTTCCGCCTCTACGTAATAAAAATACATAAACCAACAAACACGCCGTTGAATACGGAGTATTTAGTCACTCCATGAAACCAAGCCCCCAAATTATTTTAACTAACTGAGCTAATCCGTACACAGCAGGTTGTTTCTTTACGGAAATATTCTCGTGATGGCGCCAACTAGCTAACAAGTGTAGTAAAAATCCTGGCTTTCCCCAAAAAACTCCTTGATTTTTTTAAACACAACGCTCCAGCCAATGGCGGTTGGTATTTGACATAACTGCACAGGTTTGATGCTCTGTGCTTTGGTCTAGCTCCGTCATGCCACGTGTGGTTTCCCGGCAGCATCCCATCCATTCTCCATTTATTTCTCCAGGGGCGAATAATCCTCAAGGGTAAGAAGGGGGCGCTGGCATACCAATAAATATGCTTAACGCCATATGTCAACTTTTTTCTGAGCTACTAGGTTTCCTTTTTCGGAGTATGGTACGGAGTACGGAATACTATCCATGCCTTGGATCCTGGTATTGCTTTTTTCTTTTTTTCTTTTTTCTTTTTCTTTTCTTTTCGCTTCTCATAATTCATATTATTGATAACAGTTCGGTTCTACACACCAAGCTCTGTATAGCTCTGTCGGGTGTAGTTTGTGTTGTATGCGCGGGGTTCTAGTTTCATTTTCGACCATTTTCAAAGCCCACCCCGACTGTATTTCAAACTCCAACATCTAGCCTTGTTTTTGACCAGATGTACTGTACTCCGTACGGAGTAGTAGATCTTGCTATCTGGGGTTTTGAGCGCACTAATGAAAAGTGCTGCATCACACCGCTTCATTTTTCCACCCCGGCTTTTGTGCATCTACCTTAAAAGCATACTTCGTACGGAGTACACAGCATAATCTTTAAGGATACCCTCCGAGTCCCCATATCTTCTAAAGGTTCTTTCAAAGGTTTCTCTGGTATATACAGACGTACAATAGTATTTCTACACAGTATAAAAATATATCTGCTTCAATTGTCAGTGACAAGTGAAATGTAGCGAATCTATTTTTAAAAAAGAGAGTGAATCAGTTCAACCGTCAGAATTTGGATCCTCGCGGCCAGACAAGGAGATAGGAAGCTCATATAAAAGTTTGAAAAAATATTTAAAAGCAATTTGTTTACAAAGTGCACGCATACACATAGTTCAACGAAGCTATCTATATTTATACTAGCGATAGCCTCTGGAAATTGGCTGGGCTTTCCATGCAGGAACCATGGGTCATTCATTCCTGCTGGATCGATGGATTAAGATCGATCTAAGCTCGTACGTATCAATCATCCTTCCGGTGGAAACTTGGGTAATATCGCTACCTAAAGTATCTTAACAACAGGGGGGAAATTAACAAACCACGCATGATCACTGAAACAAAAAACTGGCTGAACAAGAAAAAGAAAAAGGTCGAAATAGAAACAAAAAGATATTTCTGTCATATAATGCATCATCCGTGAATCGAACACGGGCCTCATCGAGTTAAGATCACATGACTACCCATGTATACAGGGAATCAGATGGCAACGATGAATTCTACCACTAGACCAATGATGCTGGTTGTTCTTATGCCCGAGGAAAACGTTTCTTACTTTCCTCCTCAAGACATTTTTCAAGAAATTGTGTTCTCCTTGACACAATGGCCAAAATGCGCGATCGAATCAATCCCACTAAAGAAGTACAGAGTAAGAAAATGCTTTTTGATGTTTAGCTTAAGGTATGTACTTAATTACTTTTCTTATAAGGAGCTTGAGCCGGATTCCATGAAACAGGAACTGAGTGGAACTGAGAACACCACTACGCTGGCTGAAGAGGTAGAACGAAAAAAGAACAATACGAGAGATAGATGAGGATATGGCTGTATTTATATAGGACCCCATGTTATATTCTTGGATGATACGCTATATATACGGAGTACGGAGTACAATTCTCCTACTTCAGTATTGAAAAGTGAAAACCGAGTTGTGATGGGAAAAGCTCAAGCGACCAAAGTCCAAATTAGATCTAATCTTATCAATCTAACTAACCTTATTTCTATTTCTACACATCTTTTCCCATTTAGAGCTACGCAGTAGGTCCACCCATTCTTTTGCTGCCTTCAATTTTTTTTTTCCACCGCCGTCATCATTCCACCCCCTCGGCCATTTCTCAATTCCCGCCGCTGCCCTTGGGCTCCAGACATTCATTGGCTTCAAATCTAATTATTTAACTTCTGTTATTCGCCCTCTACTTATATACATATAACTAGCTCTCCACTTATTATTATTATTATTATTATTTTCAAAACACATCAAACGCTCGATCAAAAAAGTCAATGTAAACAAGCAGGAAAATCCGACCTCGTTCTTAGCCCAACAAATTCCACCATCACAATGCCAAAACAGAAAACATTTTTAAAGGAAGCAAAAGCGAAAAAGAAAGCAAAGAGGAATACTGTCAGTAATACACTGAAGCCATTCAGCTGCTCATTGCATCGCACCTCTATTTTGAGGACTGCCCCCACCTCTGCTTCATCTTTGATTTTTCTATCCCACCCTGCCTGTCATTTTTCTCCTCTCTATAATACCTCCCATATATTTATGACAGCCGAGTCAAGTCAACATCTTCCGCTCAGTTAAAAAGTTGTCACTCTAGCTCTACCTTTTTTCTCTTTTATCCCATTTTCTCATTCGCTTTCGTTTTCATTTTGAATTAGCCCACTCTTCCTAACTTCCCGTATATTCAATTCCCAGGAGCCTGAAACCTCGGACGAATATCTCGCTGGTAAGTTATTGTCAATTCATCATATCATCGTTAGTTACCATCATGCGAGCTGGAAGGAAGAAAACCACAATACATACGCATATATACCGAAAAATTTGAAACTGACTTAGCTAATTTTGATTTCTTCTCTAACTCCCGTCCCAGCCGGTGTTGAGCTAGAAGAAGCAGGAGAAAAATGGCGAGCTGGAGATGCTGTTAAATCCATGCGGTTTTTCATGCGCGCCATTGAAACGTATGATACAGGTTTAAGGAAATTTCCGAATTCGTTTGATTTGGCCTACAATAAGTAAGTATACCTACTGTATCAATCTCGCTGCGCCACAACAACCACACCCTCTAATAACATTTTCCGCCATTGTGGCGATAACAATATATACACTTATATATTACAATATATTTGATTATTAAACTCGTTCTCTAACTAGTCATATTTTTTACGTTATATAGGGCACGGATACAATACGAAATAACCCAACACCCTAAACTAGCAACTCAACTCCCGGCCCCACTGGTCGAAATTCTCCACATCGCCCTCAAATCACATAGACACGCCCTAACCCTCCAACAAGACAATGCAGAAATCCTCTTCAACACCGCACAGGTATTGACTAGCTTAGCAGAGGCAATCACCGACGGTAGACGAGCCACCGAGCAGCATACACAGGAAGCATCGAAATACCTGCAGGAGGCGTTGGACCTGTTCCAGCGATGTCTAGGTGTACAAGAACTGCGGTTTACCGAAGGGCAGCATCAACAGGCTGACAGCATGGCCATGGCTGAGTTTGGTGGCTCTGCTCGGGATGAGCAGCAAGCAAATTTAGAAACGGATCAGGCGATGGAGGGAACGGGGGATGGAACTGAACGGTCCGCACAGTGGGCTACGGTTATCGAGCCGGTAACCAAGGATACGCTGGTCGACACCGCGGTGGCGCAGTTGGAAGCATTAGCCACGTTTTGCGGGTTACTTACCCTCGATCCTGGAAGCTCTCTTGCGTGGATAGAAGAGTATTCTGCAGACCTGCTAAAGGAGAAAGTCGCGGCATACGTGGAGGGAACAGACAGGCAGAATGAAGTAGCGCTGGCGCGCGCTAAGTTCATTTCAACGGTGGCGGAAGTCTCGTTTCGGAGCGGCAGGATTGATTTTGAGACGTACAAGAACGAACTGAGCACGGCATTTGGAGATGTGAAGGATTTGTCTGGGAACCCGGGGGCGCTTTGTTCCCAAGCAGAGTCACTGATAGCGTTCAACACTGCCCTGGCAGATTGCGACCAGCCGGGCAACGAGGAAACGTTCAATAGACTGTTGACGCTACGATGGCAAGCGCTATCATTAGCGCTAGATTCGTTTACCGCAGCGACAAAGCTTCCCGAGGCCGAAAATCTACCTAAGATCCACCTCGCGAGAGGGGATGTGGAGATGTATCGGTGGCGCTTGGGTGGGCAGCCGTGGAGCTATAAGGTCTCGCACGAAAATGCTCCGAAATTGCTGAAGAATGCGCAGACGTACTATCGCGGAGCAGCTGCTCTCGCCAGGAGGGATGGATCAGGCGAACAGGATCGAGAAGGGACGGTGAAAGAAGCGTTGGCCTTTGCTCTTTCAGGAGATATACAGAAGATGGAAGGACTGATCGCGAGCTCGGAGAAAGAGTTGAGGCAGATAGCGGAGGAAATGGTTGAAGATGGGCTGGTCTCGGCAGAGGTTATGGATGAGCTTTTCCGGAAAGCTGACCCGGATGAGATTGTGTTTTGAAATATCCTGTACTTCAAACTCCCCAAACTCTGGTTTATCCCCATGCAAAGATATACACTCTCCGCTGAATTCCACTCCTATACTTAAACGTAAAACATTTAACCTCCGTATATCATGAACGTTGTTGAATCTTAATTTCATCATCCATTTCTTGCGCCTCTTGCCGGAGACCGTTCTTTGCATCAAACTCTGATGTGGCGGCTGCTGCGCCCTCCACGTCACTAATCACAGCTTCAAGGCCAGATAATAGTTGCTCAATCTCCCGTCTTTGAGACGCGACTTTCTCGGAGAGCTGGCCATTCTCCTTCTGCAGGGTTTCCAGTTTCGTATTTAGCGACGCCTGCGCTTCCGCCAGATACGGCGCAAGGTGCGCTTGGTAAAGCTCGTTTGCCCCTAGAGTATGAGGGCTATATATATATGAACCCACTTTTAGTATTGCTAACGCATAAATGGTATTAATCCCCTCCCGCAGCTCGTAGACGAAGGAAGAATGGAAAGGGACAAAGACCAAAAAGAAAAAGAGAAAAAAAAATTAAAAAATAAAAAATACTTACGGCACACTCGCTTCCCCTTCTCCATTCTCCCTCCTCAACCTCGCCTCCCCAACTAATCGATCCAATTCATTCAATCCCTTAATCACCTCCCTCTCCCTCAGCACATCATCGAATTCTGCACGGGCGCTCTCTTCTAGCTTGGCATTCAGCTGCCTCCAGACGGATTCTAGGCTGTGCGGGACATGTTTGGCCGGGGTGGGGAAGCAGGCAGAAAAGTTGGCGTAGGAATTGGCGCGTATGGTGCGTAGGAGGGCTTCGGAGAAGACTTGTTGGAGGCGGGTGGCGCGGGGGCCTGGGGTTAGAGGGACG